ATCACGGCGTCTGTCACTGTCTTCCCAAGGTAAGCCTCAGCTGTCTCCTTCATCTTCAACAACACCATGGAGGAGATCTCTTCTGCAAAGAACGACTTCTTCTCACCCTTGTACTCCACCTCGATCTTCGGTTTGCCACCGGAGTTGATCACACGGAAGGGCCAATGTTTCATATCATCCTGTACAACTTGATCTTCGAATCGACGACCAATGAGACGTTTGGCATCAAAAATAGTGTTGACAGGATTCATAGCCACCTGGTTCTTAGCAGCATCACCGATCAGACGCTCGGTGTCGGTGAAAGCGACATAACTTGGAGTGATTCGATTGCCCTGGTCATTAGCAATAATTTCCACCTTGCCATGTTGAAACACACCAACACAAGAGAAGGTTGTTCCCAAATCGATACCGACTGCGAGCCCTTTCGACATCAATTTCAATTTAAAAGTGAAATTTTCGGTAATATCTTTTTTATGATTGCCGTTTTAAGAAATCTGATCATATGAATATTCACGAATTCAGATCGAAAATTTTGTGGTGAATTCAATTCATCAGAATTAATAATTAGTTGCCATCACTTGGAATCTACCATTTTTAACTTTAATCAATAAGTTTCATATAAGCGCACAATTTGTAATTTTCATTTTACGTGTAGTTCTTTCAGTCAATCACATAAGTGTTTTTATTTCAATTTGAAATCTGTAAGTTGCCTCTATTCTCAAATGCCATATCTTTTGTGAATTTAATTTACAAAATTAAATTAAATTAAATTTAATGGTCTGTAATGTGGGGTGTGCGATAGACTCACCTCCTGGGCAACGTATTCTCATACGGCTAAAAAGTCCATTAACCGGGAGTTGACTTCTCACTTCAAATTACCATCACCCCACTGTATGTCATATCCGACTACTTTCACAGTACTCACCTCACCTTTTTTCACCTTTGTGTCTGTCTCTTTTACATCTTTGAAACACTCTTCTGTTCCCCCCCCCCATATTTTTTCACTTTGATGTTTCTTCCCCTCTGTGAAGCTTGAAGTCAACTAAAGGGCTAATGATAACTATCAAAACGCCTGCCATTTGATATAAATAAATAGATGATCTGTAATGTGGGCTTATTGTAGACATTAAATTTGTTACTCTAGTGAATATAGAGTGGAATTGGTCTTGAGGAAAGTATGCTGATATTCTTTGGAAGACATTAAACACTT